AGGCACCTAGCAGTGGTCCAACTAGTACAAGGAACTAGTCCGGTTTGGTTTGGATAACTATACCGTAAACTATGTGAACTATGTGCATTCTATACAAATGGCCTCTCTCTTTCCCTCTCCTCTATATATATATATATATATAATTATTTTATTTTATTTTTTTTTTTTGCCCCCTTTCAAGACATACACAAATTTCATTTGAAATTAATCCATTCAAGGTGCAAAAATACTAGTCAGAAGCTTAAAAATATTGAAATCTAGAAAATGTATCCACAAATATATCAAGCATAAGTTCAAACATCAATAACGACAAGCATGTCATAGATCAATTGATCATTCATAAACATGCACAAATCGTTGTATCAACGACACTAATACAACCTAATGAAGCACCAATACATGACTCAATCAAAGTAATACACGACCTAATACAAAGGAATAACACTAATATATGACCCAATAAGCACAAAATGATCATTTAGAAATATCCAAAAGCACGTGAAAGGCATTGTGGTCCTTGAGAAAAGAGAGTAGTTAGGAAGAACAACCGAGATCTTGAGGTCCATTAATTGTCAAAAGTGGAGATTCCTAAAACAGAAACTATAGAGAAGAGAAAATAGGGTGGAGAAGCAAGGAGCTTGATCTATTAATGGCTGAAAAGGATTGGCCAGACATTTGTCTTAGAGAGAGAAAGCTTAACTCCAGGGCAATTTTGGGGGTTTGGGATGAGAGAGAGAGACAGAGAGAAACAGAGAGAGAGAAAGAGAGTAAGAGAGAGAGCTTGAACTCTAGAGAGATTTTAGGGGTTGGGGATTAGAGAGAGGTCTTAGGAGTTTGGGATCAGGGGGCGAGAGAGAGAGAGAGAAAGAAAGAAAGCGAGAGAGAGAGAGCTTGAACTCTATGGGCCTGTTTGGATAGGAGGAAATCAGGAATTTTAGATATTTGAAATCCAAGGAAATCTACGGATTTTCAATATCAAGGATTTTGTCATGGATTCCTCAAATCTCTTGTTTGGATGAACTATACAAAATTCATGGATTCCTTGCAATCACTTCTATGTCCATATTGGTAACAAAACTTGATACAATTTCTTTCTCTAAAATTTTTATATACTTTCTCTCTCTAAAACTCAAAATTTGGGATAGCATCTCTATAAAAATGTTGAGATAGTTTCTCCTTCTAAAATTTGATATGGTTTGTTTCTCTAAAATTTAATATACTTTCTATTCAAAATTTAAAATTTGAAATTGTCTATCTAAATATTTCGAGATAATTTCTCTCTAAAATTTTTAGGTGCTTTACTCTCTAAAATTTAATATAGTTTCTCTTTCTAAAATTTTAAGATTCTCTAAAACTTAAAACTTGAGATAGTTTCCTTCTTCAATAATTTTGGGATAGTTTCTCTCTCTAAACATTTTTAAGTATTTTCTCTCTGCAAAATATGATATAGTTTTTCTCTCAAATTTTAAGATACTCTCTTTCTAAAAGCTAAATTTGAGATAATTTCTCTCCAAAAATTTTGCGATAGTCTCTTTTCCTAAAAGAATTTATGTGCTTTCTCACTTTAAAATTTGATATAGTTACTCTCTTAAATTTTAATATGCTCTCTCTCTCTAAACCTTCAAGTTTGAGATAGTTTCTCTCTCTAAAATTTTGAAATAGTTTCTCTTTAAAATTTTATATAGTGCCTCTCTAAACTTTGATATACTCTCTCTAAAGTTTTAAAATTTGAGATACTTTCTCTCTCTAAAACTTAAATTTTGAGATAGTTTTTCTCTCTAAAGTTTTTAAGATAGTTTCTCTCTAAAAATCTCATGTACTTCCTCTATTTAAAATTTGATATAGTTTATCTCTCGAAAATTTTAATATACTTTTTCTCTCTAAAACATAAATTTTGCAATAGTTTCTCTCTCCAAAATTTTTGAGATAGTTTCTCTCTCTAAAATTTTTTAGGTAGTTTTTCTCTCTAAAATTTGATATAATTTCTATTTCTAAAATTCTAATATATTTTCTCTTTCTAAAATTGAAAATTCGAGATAGTTTCCCCCTAAAACTCAAATTTAGAGATAGTTTCTCTCTATAACTAAAAATTCGAGATAGTTTCTCTCTAAAACACGAGATATTTCTCTCTAAATTTTTTGACCATTTCTCTTTCTAAAATTTATAATAGCTTCTCTCTAAAAGTTTAAGAATACTTTCTCTGTCTACAATTTTAAGAATAGTTTCTCTCTCTAAAACTTAAGATTTAATATGGTTTATCTCTCTAAAAAATTTTGAGATAGTTTCTATTCTAAATATTTTAGGTAATCTCTCTAAAATTTGATATAGCTTTTTCTCTCTAAAAATTAAAATATGAGATTGTTTCTCTCTCTAAAAATTTTGAAATAGTTTCTCTCTAAAAAATTGAGATAGTTTCTCTCTCTAAAAATTTGCATGTACTTTATCTAAAATATGATGTTCTGCATAGGCCACACATCAAAGCACTCGCTTAGGCGAAGCAAGGTCTCTAAATCCAGTGCTGAAGCCGCGGGCTATGTCTTCTACTGCCAGTGAGGTTGTGTGGCTCACCGCCCTTCTCACTTGGCGTTCACCACTGTTGATATCTCTCTAAAACTTAAATTTTGAGATAGTTTTTCTTTCTAAAATTTTGAGATAGTTTATCTGTCTAAAAATTTTTGGTACTGTCTCTCTAAAATTTTAACATACTATCTCTCTCTAAAATTAACATACTTTCTCTCTCTAAAAGTTAAAATTTGAGATAGTTTCTCTCTCTAAAATTTTGAGATAGCTTCTCTCTAAAAAATTTGGTACTTTGTCTCTCTAAAATTTTAGAATACTTTCTCTCTGTAAAATTTTAACATACTTTCTCTCTAAAAGTTAAAATTTGAGATAGTTTTTCTCTCTAAAAATTTTGAGATAGTTTCTCTGTTCAAAAAATTTTGGTACTTTCTCTTTCTAAAATGTTCATACCTACCCAATGCTCCCTATGTTTCGAGTCGAGGGAGCTAATGAGTGAAATCCATGGGCCTTGGAAATGCAAAAAAAGAGGTTTTGGTGTGGAAATGAAATCATGGAAAAGTAGGTCTTATTCCGTGATTTTGATTTTCCTGATTTTAAGAATCCTAGTCATTAAACAATCCAAACGGTGGATTTTGACAATAACCAAGATATTAGGAATCCATGCCTTAATATCCATGTCCCCAAACAGGCCCTATGGAGATTTTTGGGAGTTTGGAGGGAGGGAGGGAGTGAGTGAGAGAGAGAGAGAAAGAGAGAGAGAGAGAGAGAGTAGTTCTCGGTAGGATAGAGAAGTAAGTTACTAACGGTAAAGGGGAAAGAGAGTAGTGGTTGTCGTGGAGAGTAGAGAGAGAGAGTATCGTAGGGTAGGTAGGTACGTAGGAGTCGTTGGT